ACTTAAGTAGTTAAATTTAAATAGAAACTTTTTGCTAAATTTTTTTTAAAAAATTTTCACCTCCCATATGGAAAAGTGGAAAAATCCAAGTTTTAAAGGAAAGCAAGGGATGTTGCATCTCTCTCTCTCTTCTTTCCTAATTGTTATACTTTATCCAAACAAGTGTTGAAAAGGCATCCAGTCATTTCCTTTCTTCTCCTTCTAGTCCCCTCTATCCAAACACTGTGAGAGAGAAATTCTCAGCCATTTATAGCATCTTATATTTGGACAGGTCAAAGCGTAAAATTTTTCACCATGCCGTCCCATTCACCAAAAGTAGAACAACCTACCAAAATTCAGATTTGAAAAACTATAGAAGTCATTCTTATTTATTTACAGGGTTGAAGAGAAATTCCAGATAGAAAAGGGTTATGAAGTTCTGTTTGAGCAATTTATATTCCAATTTCTTCACGCCAGATCACGTATCAACTAACAACCTTTCTAGTAAAACCTTTAAAAAATACCTTTCTAAAAAGCTTGTTATTTGTTTAAACCATAAGCGAAGGGTTACACACAGCATAAAGAGCTTGGAGAAATACATAATGATTCACAACTAAGAAACATTCTTCGATCAAATAAAAGGTTTGAGAACAGAAACACACTTGACTCAATATCGATTCCCAAAGTTGAATCAAAATGGATTTTCAGTGACAGCAATACGCAGACATGTTCAACAGTCAAAAACAGACGCAAAATCACAGTGAATCACAACCGCTCCACGTGCCCACGCAGATACCTTGACACTATATATAACAAGCACACACATACAATTTAATCAAAATGAAGCAATCATGCATATGTACAAATGAGTATGGAGCATCCACAGGAAAGAGATACATAAATTTATCTGCACAGTACAAATCCAATATATTTAAGGAACCCAAATTAGTTTATTCATATACCCAGATAGATAAAGCAAAGATTATAATACCCAGTAATAAAGCAAAGATCATAATACCCAGTAGGCAGTTTGTCCACATAGCTGATGACCATCTTGAGCTTGTTGCCACCTTCAGAGGCAAGCCCTGCATGCATCTCGACAGCCATGGCATCAGCCACCTGCTTCAGTTTCGCAGTTGGGGTCCCACATTTCTCCTCTAACTCCTTAACTATGGCCATTGCCTCGGCCCACCTGGCCGACCTCCCCATTTGCCGATGCACGACATAGGCCACCCCGGCCGTCGCCACAGCTGCACAAACCAACGCTGCCCCCACTGCCACCTTCCCCATTGTGGACCAAAAACTTCAAAGGAAGAAGCTTTCTTGGGTGGTCTAACTTTTGCAAAGTTTTGTCGTTGATGGTATGAGAATGAATCCTAATCTTCTAAATAATATATGTTCTTTATAATTATTCTCCTAAAGATTTTGATGCACGGACAATGAATTAGTTTTGGGTTGTCAAATGATGATAATAATAATAATAGTAATAATAATAAACCAACAAAATAAAATATAAAGATCTGTCTCTGTGATAGTAAAGTAAATGTGGGATTTGAGAGAAAATAGCTTTGATGAATGGAAAAGGACAAAAGGAAGTTAGCAGGAATTGGTGGTGTTGATCTTGATGAAAAGGAAAACTATTTTTAGAATCAGAGAGAGATTTCTGAAAAAGGAAATAATCAGTAAGAGTATATTTTTCTGATAACAAAGATTTGGTAAATGTGAGAATGAGACGGGAGAGGCTATGAAATGGGAATGGTTTGAACATCCCAACGATTGTTTCTGTCTTTCCATTTTTGTATAGCTTCCTTCCATCTGTGATTGACATGTATGCACCAGTAGAAACAGGGACAGAAGAAAAGACTTTCTCAGTCGGTTGCCACGAGTCTGCATTTCTTTCTTTCTTAGGAAAATTTTTGTTATTTCTTAAAAGCCTTCAGATTTTAATATTACCACCCGAACTAAACATTAAATGACGATGACTTCGTTCCTCAAGATAAGGTCAAAATCATTTTTTAGTGCCAACCAAAAACTTTAAACAAAAAAAAAAATGAACTTTCAATTGCACAAAAGATGGATATAATACTGGTAAATTTAGAATCGAATAACTAGTTATACATCAAAACAATATGTATCCAGTATAGAGAACAAGTTTTTGGAGTTTTTGAAACAAATTGCAATTCAAAAACAAAAGCAATTGATTTAACTTATCCTCCATTTTACTCTTTTAACTTGGATGAAGATTGCAGAAGAGACTGCCTTGACATGTAGTGCTGGAGTAGCACAAAATCGCATGCTTGCTAAAGATTACATAGAGATTTTTATGGCGTAACTTGAGTTTATATGTTGTAAGAACATACTTTTTTTTTTTTTTGTTTTATTTAGTTGCTATGGTATTTCTTTGTCAACCAATAAGCTAAGACTAAGCAGATAGTCAGTTGATCAAACACAATTTGTTTATTTTGATATAAAAAAAAGTATCTTTTACGCACACGATTTATAATTTTTGCCTGCAAAAGGAGCTCATTGAAAGAATTAGTGCTTAGTTTTCTAGGGTATCTACTCTTTAATTCTAAATGATATTTTTTGAATAAAAAAATATGTTAATTAAGAAATTTTGTGAATGAAATTGCAATAAAGGAAAATTATGAGTTAAAAATTAAATTTTTAAATTTGTTTTTTTGTAATTTATATCTCTATTGCAATTGTAAGTGGAAGTCTCCTTACTATTATAGTTATTTTGTTTATTATTTATCTCTAAGTACGAAAATTTTGTCACACCACACAATTGGCTACTTTCTATTTTATAACTATTTAGTTTTAAAAGTGAGATTAAAGAGTATTTAGAAAAGTTTATAAATTATTTATAGAGCATGTATAGTTATACTTTTAATAAATAATATGTATTTAAATTTCAATAACTTTCTCACTTTTTGACCATTTTACATTATGTGTTTGGATTAGTTAATCTGTTTTATCTTCCATTTGTTATTTTACTAGGGATTTGTTTTACCAAGCTAAGTTGATTTTCTTGTTTCTTCCATTTTGTATAAGTATATATATATACCCTTTCAACAATAGGCAGATGGCCCCAAGACCTTTTTTTTCAAAAATAAAAAATAAAATTGCTAGCACTAATTTTTTTTTTTTTTAAATTATCAATAAAGTATATTAATTTTGAATATTTATTTATTTTATACATTAAAATATTAAACTTATTATTTCGTGATTTTAATAATTTAATAAAATATTTAATATATTTGTACGATTGATAAAATTTATAACAAATATTTTTCTTAATACTTAAAACAAGTATAGCTTATAAACTCATATTAGTTAAATACTTTGACGATTTATTTATTTAAAAAAAAATATGTATATTTGTTTATACTATAATATTAAACAAGCTCATAAGTTCAACAGCTTAATAGCCATTAGAAGAGGAAAAAAAGCAAGAGAAACAAACTTTCAAATGTTGTCTTTCAAAATATATAGAACTTTTAATTACATTTTTATTTTCCATTATAGCAGGCAGCTTGAAAAAGCCTGTATTTGATAAATTTTAGGCATATGCTGATGGAATATTTTTCATAAATGTATGATACATTTTTATACTATGTTTTTTGTGCTACATAACACAATGCACTACTTTTTCATGGCATTTGTGGATCCTTCAAAAATATCAATTTTTTTTTTTTCTGAGCTTCCACCGAACTTTCAAAGATGTGAAAAAGCAAACATAGACTGAGGTTTGTTCTCTTTGCTCATCTTGAAACTCCAAAATACACATCTCATTTTCTATTTAGGTGAATTTTTTCATCGATATATGACTGCGCCCGAAGTTACATAACAATAACCAGTTCCCGATGCTCACAACCCCGTAATGTTTGATGGAATATCCATTGATCTTCTTTATGCAAGTATCTTCCATTTAGCAGTACCTGAAATTATACTTCGCATTTCTGGTGAAAACATATCTTTCAAAATAATTTCCTTATCAAGTCAAAATAACCAAGTCGTTAAATTTGAGTTTTTGCTCAAAGGATGTAGTTGTTACCAAGTACATGATAAACTATTTTCAATAAGAAGAATCCAAGTCACTACTTCCCTGTGTAACGTCAACAGATAAAGTCTATTATTGTCTGCAGAATTGTTAGATTATACCCAGAATGTGGAAGCAAAAGAGTCCCAGTACGTTTGGTATCCCGAGGAGCTGGAAGCAGCTAGTCAGCATATTTACTAAAAGCGAGATGACTCGTCATACACAAGCCGTCAACTATAACATTGGCAGTGAGTAATAAATCAACTGGGGGGATAATCAGGCATTGGTTAGAACAAGTGGCCACCCAATTGCCGCATTTCTCAGTAATTTTACAAATCATTTTCCATTTAATTTCACAATTTTTGTTAGCTACCAAACAGGAGACAAGAAAGTACCAACTAACTTCATGGTATCCAAATACTGTTTTAGAATCGTGAATTTACTTTCTATAAGGAATACATAATCCACATCCTAATTAGTTTGTCAGCTGAAGGCGACAAGGACATGTAGAGACAGAAACAAAACCATCAATACAGGGTTCATCATGAAACAGCAAATATCAGCCTGCAATTTCAACATCTACTTATATAAAAATATCACAACAAAGAATACTTGTCATGCAATTTTACAGAAAATGCTAGGCAATATACCAATGACCATCAATTCCGAACAATTTAATAAACATGCCAAAAAGGCAATAGAAATGAGACACTACTAACATAAACGGGCAAAGATTAAGATCCTAAACTAATATTGTATTACATTACATGACAGAATGATACAGAAGGCAGGAAATGAACCCTCACTTGATATCTTACCCTTGCACAAC